AGAATAACTGTTTATCTTGAGTCGTGATTCAGTTTATGATGGAAGCGACTTCAAACACTGAAGGCGAAAGTGCCACTCAACACCCCAATAATCATAAGAGAAATGTAGGAAAGGGTTGTAATCAGGAAAAACGCCGTTGTTGACGCTTCTAAAATTTTCTATTAACAAAGCCCAAGCTCCATTTCGCACTTTCTTGTACTTTGTGCTCCTTGTGAAGTCTACTGAATAGAGAGTTATGCTAATTAAATTGAATAATATCTTTCTTTTTTGATTGTAATTTCTATTCAAGTTAAATCTATCTTCCTGTATTTACCCCACCTCAGTAGCTAAACAACCTCTCGGAAGCTTATCTAAAAAAATTATGGTCTGCTTAGAAGATTTCGATGCTGTCGAAGATTTCGTTTTCCAATTTGCACTTTTGAGTATATTTGTACTTTTTTTATCAAATATGTTAGAATCCTGCGTGTAGATAATAATCAGCACTCGCCTCGATTGCTTATTTCACACGCATTTTTATTTGTAATGCTTGCCTCGAAAAAGTGTTACAACAGCCTGGTTTGGAACGGCGACCACTACCAAAAGTGACCGACACTGTAGTTAGGATTGTTAGAAATCTTTTCAGACGACGTGAATTATTTTTCCTCACTCTACTCAGTAGCTACAAAGTCTCAACCTTTTCATTCCCGCAATATTACAGTAGTTTTTCTTTGTCTCCGTTTCGCTTCAGAGAGCAGCAAACCCCAAAAATCCCGATATAAATGAGGTCTTGTCACTTCCAGGGTTTTTCTTTCGAGTTTTTCTCTTACTCTTTTTCTATTTCATCTCTATCTCATCGCGTACACACATACGGACCCTTTTTGCTCGATTTTCCCATCAGCGCATTTAACTAGTCTGATTTACCACCTCACTGCGTGTTGGTAGCAAGCGCATCCAGTCCTGATTCATGTGATGATGGTGAACGATTTTGTTTTCGGTGACGAGATTCGATTGGTGAATCACCCAGATCGCTAATTGGAGGTGTGCCCCGCAGTGAGCCCTTTGTCTGAAAACATCGTCATGTATTGTGTAATATGTTGGCATTTGCTGTCGCTAACATTTTTCTTTAATGGTAATCATTTATTCCATACTTTCAGAGAATGTACGATGACAGCGACGAGTCGAGCGATGACAATCGGCCCAGCGGACATTCATCAGGACGGAAGCGACTTCCATTTGATCCAAAACCTCACCTTGTCACTATTGTAAAGACGAACACAGGTGATCTTATTAGATCAGTTTACTCGGCTGGATTTTGATGGTCTTTTTTTCACTAGGATTGGGACAGTTCATATTCGGTAAGAGCGTTGCTCAAAATCCTTTATTTGAGGTTTCGGATTCAATGTGAAAGGACAAGTTAGTGAAGGAGGACAACTCCGCAGTTTGAATGGGCAACTTTATGCTCCTCTGCAACATGTCAGCGCAGTACTGGCAGATGGCGCTGCTGAACGAGCCAATTTGAGGAGAGGCGACAGGATTTTGCAAGTGTACGTCACGGTTGCCCAAGTTGTGTCTAGTTGATGGTTATAGTCATGTTTAGGAATGGTGTTAATGTGGAGGGCGCCACTCATCGGCATGTAGTTGATTTAATTAAGCATGGAGGAGATCGTCTTACAATGATTGTCATATCCGTAGAAGACTCTGAAGTGGACAGGTTCGGCAACTAGTTCTAAGCATTTTTTTCTGTTAATATTTCCTTGCTTCTTCCTTCTTTGAACGTTCTGTCTGATTGGCGCAGCTGGCTATAATTTTCTGGCATCTGCAGTGATCGAAAACATCTGGCTATCGCATGATATATTTTTCGAGACATTCTTTTTTCCTCATTATATGCTCAGTATGGCTCGTTTCGCTACGCTGCTGCTTTTAACTCAAAAGAGAGGAAATGAGATTCGAGCGAATGTAATTGTCGTGGTGTAATTTCTTTCTCAGAAACCACTTCATTCAATTTGGGGGAAGCGATCAAGTTTGTGCAAAACACTTAGTTCTCGTGGTTGAAATTCCTATAGTTCTCTGCGTATATTTTATAAGTGCAAGGTCCATAAATATGAAATTCGGGCTCATTCCCTTCTGAATAAGACTAATGATACCCTAGATAAGTATATGACTAAGCGGCCTTGAAAAGTTTTCGGTGGCATGCCGTAAATTTTTCATATTCTAAGCTGTTTTGGGGGTTTGGAGGTTTGCTTCTCGAATCGCTCAGAGCGCAGTAGGTAGAAGGTAGGGGGAGATCGAAACGAAGGAATAAGAACTACCTGAATGGAATTTGATGGGAAATTTGCAATACTTCTTTTTTTTGTGGTGCATTACTTTTGCTACGACCCTAAAATGGATGGTTGTTCATCTAATTGATCACATACTTTGGTTTTTGTTCTTGTATCCTTCAATTTCTGATTCTTTGAATTGCCTTTGAAGTTGCTAAGTTTTCCAGGTTCGAATGTGGCGAAGAAAGTGTAATCTCTTATCGGCATGATTATTCGGAAAGTAGGTCCTTACCGGTCACCATTCCAAGTTACCACACAGTAAATGATGGAGTGGAAAAGTTTGTGGTGAGTCTCTACTATATTTTAAAACCTTATTCTAAAATTCTTCTTTGCAGGTCTTTAACTTATATATGGCTGGCAGACATCTTGGCTCACGACGCTACAGTGAATTTGTTGAGCTTCATCAACTTTTGCGAAGAGAATTTGTAGATTTTTCATTTCCGAAATTGCCAGGAAAGTGGCCGTTTTCGTTGTCTGAACAGCAACTGGATTCAAGGCGGAGGTGAGTTGTTTCCACAGAGTAATGTGACAATTAGATTACAACTGTAAAGAGTGAAACTCATCTCTGTTTGGCTCATTAAGTGGGAGGAATGATAAATCTGTGGCTTTGTGTATGTTTATTTTGTAATGAGCATGTGCATTGAATTTATTTCAAAATCGCATTTGAATGTCACTACAATTATATCCTGCTCAAAAAGTGGCCTACAGCCAGTGGGCGGAGCGTCCATCCACTTAGACTGAGCAACCACATGATCAGCCCAAGGGGGAAGAAGATTTGGTTGGTAGGGACTTGTGACGATTTGGATTTTGAACCTTCCGTCATATCCATGAGAACATGTGAATTGGCGCTACTCCATCTTCTTCAATATATTAACCTACTTCTTTCGACTCATTATTTTGTGTTACGCTAAATATTTCATGTTTCAGGGGGCTGGAGTATTACCTAGAACGTGTGTGTTCTGTTAAAGTGATTGCTGATTCCGATATCATGCAGGTAATATTTTTATTAGTGGTTGCTTTAGAAATTTGCAAAAAAAAAAACTGAACAATCTAGGACTTTCTTATGGAATGTGATCCATCGTGTGAGGTGGAGGTACGCGTCCTTCTTCCGGACGGTGGGAATGTTTGCGTGTCTATCCGTCGAAATTCTACCACATCGCTTCTTTTTGCTCTTCTTGCTCGCAAACTGAACATGTCACGAGATATGGCCCTTTCTTGTGCAATATTTGAAACCATGGAACAATCATTCGGTGCGTTTACTTTTTATGTAATTGCGGTTTTCCTTTTTCTGACAATTTTCCTTTGACAAGTGCCTGTTCAAGAGACGACAAAATGAACGTTTTGTGGAAGATAAAGTCCAAAATTGCCTTTAGAGGGAATGATGCATACAGGTAACTCCTTCTCCCCTCTCCTACCCTCCCTACCTCTCAACTGGTTAATCAACTTGGTTTTCTTTTTTGGCAGAGTCTGATGTATGATGTTGTGAGTACTATTACGGGCCTATCGTGTCGTCGGATCTTCAGAAATAGGGTATAGGATGAATTTCTATCGGAATGACTTGAATCTGACTTATTTGCTGTTTTCAAGAATTTTATCTCTCTGGTGGGCAAGATTCAGTTTGGCTGCTTATTTACTCGCAAGCCTTTATTGCGTTTGGATTGCCAGTTTATTGAAAGATCATTGGCAAACGTTATGATTAGCCATGAATCACATATACCGTGTGCGCTCTGTGCAGTCACTATTACCGTAATTACCGTACCGTACCGTAATTAGCGCTAAAATATTACTTTATGGCTCTTCTCTATTCTTTTTTTGGTTGAATTCTCGAGTTATTGTGCTAATGAAATTTCCAGAGCGTAAATTGCTGGATGGCGAATCTCCTCATCAGCTGTACATTCAAAACTATTCGTGTGCATCATCCTCCTGTCTTGTTCTACGAAAATGGATCTTCGACCCTGATCGAGAAAGGCAGTTATGCCAAAAAGATCCTATGTTCCGTCAGTTTGTTTTTCATCAAGCCGTAGCTGATGTCAACGAGGTGATTACATCAAAACTGGTCTACATTTTTCTTGAAATTATGACTTATGTCTGTCACAAATGGTCTTTGTCTTTCAGTTGATGTCTGTTTGTCCAATCCATTACGCCCCTTTTCAGGACCGTTTGAAATCTTGTCAGAAGATGTATCAGTTGAAAGCAGTGCAAAACGAAGGAAATGCTGAAGAGGTTTCTTATTCTTTTTGCTTTATCCCGTTAAATTTCAAAGTTGGCGCGTTTGGAGTTTCATTGTTCGATCGGCTGATTAAATCACAGTGATGTCAAGGAAAATGTCTCAACTCATTCTCAAAAAAGGGGAAACCTCCGGCCCTCTCATGTTTTGGTGGCTAGGCTTTGGGCTTAATCAATGTGTTCTGATGTAAATGACCATAATTCATGAAGATAGACTGGCAAGAACCGATTTTAATATTTCCTCACTGTGATGGTCTCAATTTTTTACCCACCAAACTAAGTCATATTTAACTAAACCTTTAAAAATTCTATGCTTCTGCACCCATAAATGCACTTCAACTTCTTTAATTGCGTGTTCATCAGCCTCATTTTTCTTGCCTTATAACTAACATGAATTTGGTTGGCAATACACTCATGTAGCTGAAAAAATGAAAGCTGAAATGCAGCTGAAATAAGAGATAAGCTATCAACGCCATTATTCGAAGATGAGAACGATGAAGGTTATGCCCTTTTGTCCCTTACCATTTGGTTGACTTATAACCTGAGGAAAAGATAGGGTGTAGGAAGAGAAATGATGACTGAATATAGCTTAAGGCACAGTAGGCAATGTTCTGTGGGGGATTATCGACTGAAATTGGATTCTCAAAATGGGGCGAGCGGTCCTATCAGTAGTGAAATTTTTTTAAATGAAAATTCGCAATATCCCCGTGCAAACTTTTGTACAAAAACGTTGAGAATGAAGACTTTTTTTTAACAGTGAAACATTCTGCTTGCAGTTCCTTGAAATGACTCGTGGAATGTCCGGTTATAATGAGATTATGTTTCCACCCTGTTGCTGTCCAACGAGAACAGCTAGTGATGTAATAATGATTGTGCGATTTTCATCCCTTCTAATGACTGCGGATCCACCAAGCACCGAGGTATGATATCTATCCGATTAATTAAATGTCTCGGGGGTCTCCTTGGGAATCGACCAGTTTTACGGTCTGAAATCTTCTATTGCACCAGTGATTGCAGATGCAAGTTGAAATCAATTGGGAAGATATAATCGAATATCATGTTGTGGATGGAGGAAGAGCCTTTCAATTTAATTTCAAGAGAGAAGGTAAACGAGCGAAGCCAATAAAGCTGTTTAGCAATTACGTGAGTTTTACATAATTTTCAACATCCAACCTTTCAACTTCTTCGTTTTTTTTTGAAAAGTGGCCCACATTCAGCAAATGTTAGGATCATTTAGTTCTTCCTTATCGAGGAGCTTTTAAACCTAGTCTGAGGTTGTCGGGTAGTTTGGAGTCAACCAAGATGATGGGCTCTTTTCTTTCAGAGGAGCACTCTTGGTAATGGATATGTATATTCCCACCAGCTGTCTGTTACAGTAGCACGGATTACAAAAGATCAAAAGGCAGCGTCTAAACGTGCGAAAGTCAAAGTTTCCCATTTTCTAGCCTATAGCCTTCCAATTCCTGGCTGAGTAGGAAAGGAAAGGGGTCCATGTCGTGCGATTTGAGGTTATTTTGACAGCCCATAGTTTGAGGAAGAAGCTAGTGCTTCGTTGAATGGAGCGGTCCCCGTTTTTCCATATTTGGCCTTGAACGCACATTTTCTTCCTCGAGTCTAGGTAACAGAGCCTTCAAAGGCCCGGTATTGCTGAGCAGGATGCTACCTTGTGAAGTGTAAACCCATCGATTGCCCCTATCTGTTGTAATGGTCTGCTGTTGCACCAAGAGTCTAACCATAATGAGAAAATGAGGGTCTTGTTATTAAAAACTTGAGAGTTCTTTGGCTTTTTTTTTACTTTAGTGACCTTTTCATAACTCCATTTTTTTTTATGTTTGAGCGTTAGAGCTTGAGCTATCGTGGAAGGCTTCCATTCAGCAGCGGTGCTAGGCGATTGCCATCTGCATTATCCGCTCTAAACCTGGCTTATTTTCATCAGTATAAGTGTCTCTTTTCAATACCATTTGAGCACCTTATGATGCCGTGATTATTATAGGCAGACTACATGGCTGAATGCTTTGCACAAATCCTTTTCGAACGGCAAGTGGCCAGCAATTGGAAATCACGAGTCATAACTAATCCTGTAGAATCTAGTTCTGATAGCCAAGCAGAGATCGCAGCGGTATGAGTATATGGAACATATTTGTTCATAGATAATTTATTTATGGGCCAGGAGCTTAGAGCTCTAATCCGGTATCAATAGGGGACGGCGCGTCCTCTGCCCTCACTACGCTTTAACATTGATCTTACTTCAACTTGTATTTGTACACATCTTGCTATGGACATTTCGCAGAAATGTTGCCAACTTTTCTTTTGAATTCCCTCCTTTGAGATTTGTTTTTGAAATTTCTCTTCTTCGTCATTTTTGTTCCAGTTTCTCGTCAGTCATCGTTACTTGTATGTTTTTCAAAATATTAGTCGATGTCTTACTGTATTCACTTTGTTGGAGATGTCATCACTGCACATGACACCATTAATAGCCATAATTACTACTTTACTTGCTTTCTATGCCAACATATTTATGCTTTTGCATGTTTGCAGTTTTCCGTTGTTTTATTTATATTGTCAGTAATTGTGTGACGTACGATTTCCCAGTTTCCTGGGCTCACTGTATAACCCACGGTGCAAGGGACCCTTCCACAACTGTCTGTTGTCTTATACTCACTTGTTAAAAGGGGCTCAGGCTCACAGCTGTTGATTGTTGTAGCTTCTAGTGTACGGTTCATAATAATCGATTGAGTCGTTATGTGCAAATGATCACTCGGTTTTCTCTTATGTTCGTGTTCATTCGAAGAGTTTATATGCTGCCCATAGGCATCAGCATGTACAACATTGCCAATTCTGTTACAATAAATCGTAGTGTCCACGACTGATTTTTCCTGAATCCATTGTTTTATCAGCAGAAATACTTTCTATTTGATAACTTCGTATTCGTTTCAACCAAATGCTTGGCCTAGTCCGGCTAATTTATTGACTAGGTGTTATTTTTTCAAAAATGTTGTTCGAGGAACTCAGAATTACTTTTTTCGATCTTTTCTTTTCGAGAATTGCCGTTTTACTTGTCCACAGGATTGAAACTCTTGGACATGTAACAGCTTTTTGCCCAAATCTTTTTGTTATGTCTAAGTCGTGCAGCTCGACCCATTGGGTTGTGGCTGACGTTTTCTGAAGTTTTGCTCAGGATACTTTCCCGCAGAGCCAGAACATTCGAACCGTCTAGAATAGAATCCGCTTTATTTTCTGTATGCCTGCAAGTATACAGTCAACCCTGTGGCCACTTTCTTTGTTTTGTTTTTGTTTTTTTTTNTTTTTTTTCTTTTGCTATGTATATGCGCAGTTTGAGTTGTTTTCCGGCTTACTATGAAAAAGGTGCAAGTATGGTCTGACTACTATCACTTAATACTGGCTTGAGGGTTATTTCGTATATTTTTCTTGGTGAATGCTGCTTTCGATGTCATTCATAAGACCGAATTTCAGAAGTGAAGGTTTGAACGGACAAGATGCTTCCTTAGTGCCATCGACACCTTGGAAGCAAAATCATATAGTAGAAATTATTTAAACTAGGGTAAGATTCTCTTTTTCAATGAAAATCACTTTTCAATCGAAATTTTTGGCTTTTACCTGTGGAAGGTGTGCGTGGAGTCAAGAAGTTTTGTCTAAACTAATGGTAGAAATGCCACTTCTTATATCGAGAAGCCCAAAATCGATGAAATCATTAATTAAACGAAGCGCAGCTTCTCTTTGAAAAAGGACTTTTCATTGTGTACTTAGCACTTAATTTTCTTTCTGCCCCAACTATCGGTATCATTTCTCACGAGGAGTCACCAGAACATCATGCCCTCGAGAACTGGAACCTGTACCATAGTGCCGTTCCGCGAGTTCGTATACTGTTGAACTTTCAAGCTATGGATTAATATATCTGCATCAGAGGGTTGACTAGCTCCAAGAAAATGTGGCTCTTCATAACTTGTTTTAGATATCTTTCAAATGAGCGCTCAACATCATAAAAATGGATAATTCTGCCATGGATTGTTCAGCTCCTCCAGCTGATGATGGAGGAAAGGGAAGACTGTCTGAATCCAAAATGCATGAGGAGGAAAGCCAGTCTCCTGGGAAGGTGACCTCAAAAACTGATTCACAGTCGACTGAAGGTATTATTTTTCATTCCACCTATGCAGCATTGTACATTAATGTGAAGATCGAATAATAAGTCTTGCAGAAGCACTCGATCCTGATGCTGCGGATTTCCCTGGGACGAGTGAACCGACCATGGATCCCAGCGCGGGCGAAGATCCCACTGATGAGGTTCGTTTCCGAAAAAATTATTATTACAAATAAAAATTTATAATGGCTAGTGGTAATGTCGTTTGCAGAGTCGTGATGAAGTTTACTTCCGACCTCGATCGGAGTCTCCCGATGCGTTCCGTTCTGGTGGTCATGCTTCTAATCTGAAGTCTTATGACAGTACAACGGATGGGCAGCAGCATAACGAAACTGCACCTACAAGCCCCGCTCAGAGGTGAGTGCACTCCATCTTCTTTAGATCTTATGGTGATGGAGTATTAGAGGTATCAGTAGTATCAGGGATATTTCTACTGATTTTTGTTTATTAGTGGCCTGGGTGATTCAGTTTATTGTGGGAGGGAAAATCAAGGTTGGTTTTGAGAAGATGAGAAATTCGCGATGAATTAAGTTTTCTGTCAGTAAAAAAAATGAGCGATCAATTTTGAATATCAAACATCGTTAGTAGCCCATCCATACTGCTGGATTATAAGCAGAAGCATTTTACTACCCGCTGAGACGGGAAGGTACTACTATTATTTTTGCTCTGTAAAATCGGGCACGGAATCTCATCGGTATCCTATATGGGGTATATTATTGCGTCGATATTCTGCTTAATCCGTCGCAAATTTCTTGAAACCTTTAGCATTAAGAAAACTCGTTGTGTTTTTTGTCTTCTGCTCTTTAACTTCATCTTTTTCTAACATTCACCTCCTGTGGAAATTTTTTCGGTTTCATCGGTTATATTTACAGATTTGAGCATACCTATGAAATCGAGGACTCTCGTGATGAAGTTCGTAGTGAAAGTGGAGGTGTTCGATCGCGAGGACGTGGGGCTCGTGGCAGAGGTAGAGGTGGAACCAGGCCATGTAGTGGGAGCGCCACACCACTTGCCAACAGTCCGCTGGTTAACAATGACAAGAAACGTGCTGGGTAAGCACCACTCGATATGACAACCTCTTTTCAACTATTTGTAATCTCGCCAAATTCTCATCACACTACCCGATCAGGCGTGGACGTGGCAGTAAACGTGCTCGTGGATATGGTTTATCACGCGGTGGTGACATTGTCGAGTCCGAAACGGGTAGCACAGTGGCGACATCGACTGCTGAGGATGTCTATGAATTCAAGAGCAGTCCGGAGAGCGAGTTTGTTCCAGTGAGTGTCTCAGCTTTCCGTACCCTATAGCGAATACTAGGCTAGTTTTCAATTCAGAATCAACAGCCTGAATTTGGGAATCGTGAGGAGAGAGAACGGTCGGCACCTCCGAGTGCGAAACGACAACGTCTAACCGAAGCACGTCCTGAAAGTCACGCGGGAAGTGCTCATTCAGGTATATAGTGACGAATTTGAGAAAATTCTTTCAACTTTTACTTTTCGATCTTGTCCAGAGGGTTCTCGTTTTAAAAATCTCTAGTTATCGATTTGAGCTCCCCTTTTCTGTGTATCGAAGATATTTCACAATGCTAATTCAGGTGATATCGAAATGGACGACATCGATGAGGAGGAAGCGAACTCGAAGCAAGGTGTCAGTGATCGAAAGGTTCTGCTGTTATTTTTCTTTCATTCCACTTGGAAATCACCATGAACTGCAAAAATTTTCAAAAACTCCAAAGACTTCAAGGGCGATATGAAAAAAAACAGGGAATGGATAGTAGCCGTGGGTGTAAAGTAAAAAAGACCGTTCACTGCTACTTCCATCGCAAGGAATAAACGGCGATTTGTTAAATTTTTGTATACATTGTTAGTTCCCTAAAAAGTATCGCTACTTCTTCTAGTAGCAACAGCATTATTAGCGGCTGCTTGGGTTGCCGGCAGGGATTACGGACGAGCTCGTCTACTTTATAGAGTCCAGCGCATGTTAAATTTTTCGACTTAAATGACAATACAAGAGATGCAAGTGGAAAATGTTTATTGTGTGATTTTTTATTTGATTCCCGTTAAAAGTATGAGCTCATTAATTAAGAAGTGGAGCGAAAAAGCAATGTAAAAGAAGCCTGGGAAGGAGGCAGAAACTCCAACATTAAGGCAGTGTTCATAGTCCACGCCATGGCGGAAACGTATTAGATGCTTATCGATTGGGAGAATAGCAGAATCGAGCAATTGTGAAGTGCACAGTTTCGCTATTCTCCCATTCAGTAGCTATCTGATTCCTTTCTGTAGTGCCCGCAATGACGCTTAGACTATGAAAACTGAATAGCTTCCTTTTTCCAGGTTCCACCTTTGCGCATCTCCCTGCCCATAACTCAAGCGGAAGATGACATGCATAGCGAACAATCGGGCCATCAGGTTTTCAGATAGACAATCATATGTCATTGTGATGCTATAGATGTTGCTATGTTTCACTTTGCAGATGCCATCCGGGCATCCTAATTCGAACCGCAAAGGCCCTCGTGGACGACATGGTAAGCGACACAATGATGCCGATGAAGCTCAAAGAATGACTCGCAGTAAGGTCGGACGATGGCCCCGCTTTTTTCTTCTCTTTCTTTCTTTCTCATCTTAAATTTTGATTTACCGGAATTCAGGTGAGGCAAACGGGTAAAGCATTGGATGATACGGATGCATGGACAAAGAAGAAAAGAGGACGAGTCAATGCAACCACAACCCAGGGTGAAGAGGTACTGGAATGTTACGTTCAGAAGTTTAGACTGTAAAACATCTTGCTTGCCAAATTTAATGGCCATTATATATTGCTGCTGGTAACGCTACTTCCAGGCTGATGAATCCATCGTTGATGATGCGTCTCCAATGGCTGAAGGATCCGACGATACTTCTCCTACAGGTCAGGCTTCGAATTCGATGTCTATTCCGGAATCCCTCTCTTCTGAACAGAGGATCATCTACGAGAACCCTCGCAGCGGGATGTTTCATATGAAAAAACTGGTAAGTCCTACTGCATTGCTGCCACACAGTATGCATGGTTAGATATAGTTTTATTTATTTATTAATTTTCAGGGGTACACCTCGAGGGTATCATACAAAAAAGAATTTAGAAATTGGAAATTTATACGGCGAAATTCCAATGGACTTTTGCTGAAAAAATGTTTCTGCTACACAGCTCCTGTAGTATTCATTTGAGAATTCATGGATTTCAGCTGGCTGCTCGGTGGGTGGAAGATCTTCGAAAACAACACGAACTTCCTAAAAACGGCAACGAGAAGTACAAAAACATGCTGCTCTTGACTGGCGATTACTCACTGCGACGTGACGACGCAGGAAGTATGGCAGGAGAAACAAGTATCGAGAAGGTGGAGCCGAAAACCGAGCACAAATCTTTCGCTGGCACGAACTCTAGCTCAGGCTCAGTGGCCAATGGCGAGGCAGAATCTGTAGGTGTTGGCAGTGTTCTGCCTCTCTCTCGATCAGCCTAAAGCATGAGCGATGTATAAAATGGTCTTTGTATCGATTCGCAATGAGATGCTGCATGCATAAAGGCATTGATCAGTTCAGATCGATGCAAAGACCACTAAAAGAATAACATGTTTGCTGGCGTAAGCTTCATTTATTCATTGTGTAATTCTGTGAATGTTTTAAGGAGGATGAAAGCAGTGGATTATGCCCTGAAATGAGAGCTCTCTGGAGGGAACATAATGAGGAACGGTTAGATGATACTCACCTTTTTTTTGTTTACTTATTGTTGTTCATAAATAAACACATTATATTTAATATTTTTCAAGTCTCGTTGTTTAGCACAAATATGACGAATCGCATGTACAAAGAAAGGGTTAAATTACGTCTGTTCTGGGAACAAGAGCTACTTCGTCTGGAGCAACGAGAAAAGGGCACTACGCCCGCAATGTCAGCTGTTCGGTTCCTACGTGAAAACGAAATGTGCAAGTAAGTTTTTGTCGCCGGCTTTTGACTCTGCCTTGCCCGCTAATTGTGAGCCTCCTAGCTAGTGAGGATAATTAGCCGCACTGTTTTATGAATAAAATTACAGTGCCCAGATACTGGAAGAACCAACTGAGCCACTGAAACCGATGAGTCGCAGTGAATTCACAGAACGAAAAAATAAGTCTATCAGTCAGATGTACAATAGGCACAAAATGGAGGCCAGCTCGCTTTTTGGCCTACAGGTAATGCTTGTGGATGTAATGGTGTTGCAAGCAGTATTTCAAATATCAGCTTTAGCGGGACATGTGGTTGTGTGAGGCTCGCCGACGTGGTCTTGAAGTGACTCCCGAGTGCATCAACGACTGTGTTCCGATGGTAAAAGCTGAGAAAATGGATTTTCCCTACTCATAATCTGATTACGGTGAAGCTTGTTTGACTCTTAATGGTTTTACAATCTCGACACGAGTTACTATCGAACTTACCAGTTTATCACCCCTGTTGTTTACTATTGATCAACATTAATTTTTTTTCTATTTTGTGCAAGTCATTTGTTATTTTATACTTTTTGTACATTTGAACAGAATCGGTTTTATTCGTTGCTCTCTAATTGTTGACTGTGATTTTATAATATTGTTGCGTTCAATGAAGTTATTTCCTTTGTAACTGAACACCTTTTTGTGAAGAATTTAGTTGACACAACTACCGTACCTCGCACCCTCTTGACACTTGAACACATTTCCTTTGAACCTACTGTTCAGTGATTACAATTCTAGTTCGAGTAACAGGTTCCCAGTGGAGAAGATCGTGAATCGAACCTTCAAGAGTTCTTCCACAGATTTCTGGGATGGCTGTCGATGTGGCACCTGTGCCATACTCTACTGTTATTCTTCATTGCTTGAAGTATCCCTATACTGGGGTGTACGGCATTTTGCTCGGCACAAAGACGGGTAACAAGTTTAAGGTTTGTTTTTTGCTTTTTCCCTTATGAAAAAATGCGTGCATACCAAATCAATGATGACTGGTTCCTTATGCCCATATGATCTGTTCTGGGTCAATTCTTTTTCTGACTTTATAAGACGGGGGAAATGTAGAGGGATGAACACCGCCAGATGCCAAATTTCCTAATTCTCATTCGGGAATTCGCATCATCAACTTAATGATTTGTGGGGAATATCCCTTTCCTGCCTTTTTTTTTCTAACCAAGAATTAAATAGGGAAGAGAACTTTCTAGAAATGTGACCCGAGTCGTAATGGATGTAGTTAGAGCCCAATCAATCCAAGCTAACCCTTACTTCCGCATATGTAACGGCATGGGTTTGAAACCTCATTTGAAAGCGCACATTCTATAGCCTCTTGGAAGTGTATATTCGAGGAAAAAGCTGAAATTGGCAATTCGGAAGGTCAACAAAGAAACTAAAATTAGAATATCTGGAATAGCTGGTCAAATTCATGCATCTTTTTTTAATCAAGGTTTCTGCTGCTGTCCCTATTTCTCATGAGTCGTCGCCTCTTGCACCTGCTGTGGAAGTGGCACTAGCAATTGTCCATGCATCGTATCCGAATATTATCGGCGTATATTTTTCGAATCAGAACTACAAGGATAGAAGGTACTGAATATTGTGTACTACCTGCATTTCGGATTGTTAGTGAGTTCACTTCTGAGGTGGTCTGTGAGGAGCAGCTTCGAAGGGTTCATCAGCTACTGGAAATTGTTTGCCATATGTGACAGTTGAAGTAAAGAAAGGATTAGTTACTGAGCATGGGTGTTAAGTTGAACCTGTGGTTGGAATAATTTTTCCTAGAGATGGTCGTATATGCCGCTTCGTCGCCAGGTTCCAATGCAACAATTTCTCCAGTTTCATGAAGTTTTCGATGGGGCCTGCACAAAAACCCTGCTTATGGACGCCTCGTTTCTTTGATCGCACGCGCAGCTGTGAGGGAATGCGGTTTTGAATTGACCTAAGGTCATTAAAGATGGAACATGGGACTATCCGATCCCAAAGGGGCTATTTCATGACTTAATTTGCGAGAAGAACTAAGGTTTCTCTTTTGCCAGAGATTTCATGTATATACATATGTAAAGAATGCTTGGAGCAATGGAGATGTTCAGTGTTTTCCATATGTTTATATTTATGTGTACATATACAAATACGTGATTTCTTTTCAAGCTTGAGCCCCTATGCCATTCGATTATGCGAAAGCGTCACCTCTGTGTGTGGAACGCCAGCAATCCTCGTGCAGGTTATCAATTGGAATCTGAGCCCAGATTGTGAAAGCAATTCCCTGGCAGCTTACGTGAAAGATGGAGAAAATTGGAAAGACACGAGGTGAGCGACCCTTCAGATCGTCTCTTTTGAGGATGAGTTTTGATACCATTTCAAACCGAAGAAAAGAAAAAATAATGTAAGACGTGATGGTAGTCCGCGAGTATGGAAAGCCTTGTGGCCTTCATTGTAGTGGAAATTGCAAAGCTGAATCTCTGTGTTTAACCGTTTTCACCAAACACAATTGACCATTTGGAGTAGGATTATTGAAAGTTGAATCTTAACCTCGACTGTGAAGCAGCGCATTTACAGGGAGCATGGAAAGCCCTTGATTTCGAGGTTATCTAAATACAAGGCTGCCTACCCCTGTCAAAGTTTGCTCGGAGGTTCTGAGAAAAGAATAAGAGACGGAGCAAATCGATCATTCAGCGCCATCAGTCAACAAATCTCGAATGAGTTGCTGAACGTACTTGCCAGATTTCGAGCAAACCTTTGTTTGTAATAATGGAAAGTACGACCTTCTTTAATATTTAAGTTCTTGATGCTAAAACCAAGCGATTTTGTTTTTCTTTGTCGAGATTACACTCCTGTTTTGCGCATGAAGGTAATAGAATTGGCTGATTTCTCTATATTTCGCGTGACACTTCTCAAAAGGGATACCTGACTGTTGAAATGTGTCACGCGAAACCTCCCCATTTGGATTTCAGTGGTATGGAATTGGGTATATAGCCTTCACAACGTTATGCTCAAAAGAATTGCATAAATGCGTGGGAATGCATGTGCATACCTTGTCCACCTCTGCTCCGATGCGGTAAAAAAAAGTATCATGTAATCGTTTACTCATTGGTACATCCATGGAGGATAAAATTTTCGGCGTTGATCAGTCCCATTTTTGGGATACGCCTTGCATTCGACTACCACTTAAATCGTAGTGACGTATGGCCCAGGGGCCTATGCCTTGTGGCCTATGCGATGACTTGCGTGGCCAGCCAATGCACAAGGCAGTGCTGTTGTTCTCTCAGACGAGTCTCGCACCGATCGACCGAACCCAGGGAGATGGAAATTTTGATTTGCTGGGGTGAGTGCAGTTCCGGGAGCCGATCCTTGAAGCACCTCACCGTACACAAAGTTATGAATATGTCGGGCGATAAAGCAAATGAAAAACATAAAATTGATAAAGCAAAAACTAAGCTTCAGCACTTATACTTTGCTCAATGTTGTCTTTTGCAATATCGGCTCTCTCAATGGTTCACGAAATTGTTTCGATTTTTGAGCGACTTATGTTTTCCGGTTACTCGAGACCTGTGTTTTGGCAAACGGTTTTTGAACTTGTGATTATGTTGACTTGACGTTGTTTATCAAAGTTCAGAAAAAGTGTGACATCGAAACGTTCCGTCGTAAGTACAGGGCATGAGTGTGACATCTCTTGATTTTTTGCACGACAGTAGCTTGTTTTGCTTGACTCTTCGGAGCTCCTGTTTGCCTACATCACAACTGAAAGAAAGTTGCGGCCTGCCGATGTCCTAGCCGTGTTCTGTGTCCAACGAATGTAAATCTTGGGCCACCATCCAAGTAGATGCCACTTACAAAATCAAAAGGATACCTAGCGGTCGCCAATCCCAAATGTTTGCACGCCGTGGGATTTTCACCCCTTCAATCCCTCCTGAACGGCAACTGACAACTTTTTTCCTTGACAACCAACTGGCAGGATGACGTCGCGGCATCAGAGCACACCTCATACTTTTGTGACATGTGTTGGACTCCGAACTTTGAATCTTCCTTTTTATGGAAGTCACAGAGTTCAACTTGTTGAGGAAATAGAAATTGTATGAGCACAAGCTTTATTTGGGGTTTAAGAGACGTTTTTAGTCCGAGTGAGTAAACTTGAAGGGCAAAGAACGCGGTGCCAAAACAACCGACAGCTGACAAAGACGACTATTCGCAGTCCATGAGTTTTTAGAAGGCAGACACTGTGTTAATATTATGTTATGTTAATGTTGTTCCAGCTTGTGGCTAGAAAATCAGATGAGCGTCGCTTTTTTGCATCTGGTCATTCCAAGCACTACTAGTAGATGGGTTGCCAGGTAGTCATGGAAAATCTCATGGCGCTTCCAAGACTTCTGATTCTTCCCCTTTCCCTGAATTATTATTTCTCGGTAATACAGTGCTCTCCATAGGAAAGCCGAGCATTACTATACGATCCTCTGGAAATGAAATTAACTTTTATGGTAGTGCAGTTTGCTTTTTCTAATTATTCGATTTCAGCAGGTGCTGAGTGAACATTGTTCCTGTAGTTGTAGAGGGAATTAAGTGCTGAGGGCATTTCAAAAGTATTTACAACCCCTTTTTGTCATCTGCCTCGAGCTATTTCAAGGGAATGAATGCAACTTCGAAATTGAAGTTAAAATATCAAATAGGGTGAATTTTCGTGGAAGGTTCACTTTTTGCTTCCGTGTAGAATCGACTTCTCAATTCGGACCTCGCTAGAGAAGTAGGATAAGCTCACTTGTTGGTGTTGAATAATCCGTACGCCCTGAAGTTATTTATGAGATTAAAGCAAGTAAACACAGATCCAGTTCTCCAAGAGACAATATGCTAATGGGAATCCAGGAAATGAAGAAGTGAAGCTATTCCGGTCAGGCCCACATGAACTGTTAAGGGGATTTTCGAAGTCAATCAATGAAATTGAACCTTCCCCAAGCAGTTTCCTTGGATATCACCCAGAAATGCGTTGATCAAGCTTAACAAAAAACCATACCTATGTGATGCCAAAACGTTTTTAGAAACTTGTTGTTACTAGCCATATAGCGCTGGCTAGCTAGTTTTCCCTCTTTTAAAGTGGCTGTCGGAATCTATTAGTGAAGAGGAAAGCACAATATATGCGATAATCCTCTTTCAAGTTCTTTGCGAGGCTGATCGATTGGTTTCCTGCCTGATGCAAACGGTTCAAGGTCGCTATAGGATGATATCGGCATAAATTAACGCCACATTGGCGATGGCGAAGTAGGAAATATTCCGGAAATAGACGTCAATGCTGACTTTGAAATCATATAATTCTGACATTTTCACCTTGCAAAGTAGGTTTTGTTAGGTTTGAACCACGACTCTATGGATTGAATCGATCAAAGCCCACAATTTACATTACAGATTGGATACGTCATCGGAATCATTGACGATTTTATCGCAAGCAATTCAAAACAAGCTTTATCGGACGCTGTACGACTTTGAAAATCACCTCGATCGACCTGAATGTGACTTCTACAACACGGGCCTTTCACAGAAACTTGGACAATTGATCGGATGATTGATCTTTGACGTTACACATTCCTTTAATAATCTAATTATTATCAAAGTGCCAATGGTTATAGGTACTTTAAAGCCATTCTGGTTACCTTTCCTCATTTTCTCTTCACATTATTTATTAGTATACTCCATTTGTTGATAAAATTATGAGTTTGTTGTATTTGAAGGTAAATTATCCTACACCGAGTCAAAAACTCATTTCATGTTTACTCCGGACACGGGACTCCAGAGGTTTCCTTAATTCGGACGTTCATTCGCATCACTCTCGTCTGGGAAAGTGAGCTACCACTTTGTAACTTTCACAGTTCCATGAAGTATCCATGACAACCGAGACTAGCCCTCCTTAGCGACCTCTTAATCAGGAAATCATGGAAAAACATTGACGTTATGATGTATCGAAGCCGATAAAGTCACCTTCAAAAACACTAACAGCAGCTTACACATCGATCAAGAACACTAGCGCAATCGTTGTAACAGTTGTCTGTTTGACCTTTCGGCTGAGTAATCTTCGACAAAGTTTAAATACTTTATCCTCCTTGAACAACGTAACAACAACACTAGGCTAATCTATTCATAAACCCACGAATCAATGAATGGGCTCTCGTAGTCATTGATCTCCTCCGGCTTGAACCAGTGAGCAATTTCTCGTTGAGCCGACTCCAGCGAATCCGATCCGTGACAGATATTGCGACCCGTCTGGATACAGAAGTCACCTCGGATAGTTCCCGGAGCGGAAGCAAGTGGGTTTGTGGCTCCAAGCATTGCACGGCCCTGCTTGACAACGTCCAAACCTTGCCAGACCATAGCTACAACTGGACCTGATCCCATGTACTTGATCAAGTGTGGGAAGAATGGCTTATCCTTGAGCTCTTGGTAATGGACCTAAACAAACGCAAAGCTGATCTTCCATTTAACCACGAATTCCCGAGATTAGAACTTTACCTCAAGGTGCTGCTTCGATGCAGTCATCATCTTAAGGGCGACAAGTTTGTAGCCACGTTCTTCGAATCGTTGGATAATTTTCCCAACAAGATTCCTAAAAAAANAAAAAAACGAAATAGTCCAATATTGGGCGAAATATCGCTTCTCACTGACCTGTGGACACCATCAGGCTTGACGGCGATGAAGGTCCTTTCCTTTGTAGACGACATCTTTGGGCAGGAGTCCTTGTCGCAAGTGTCTTCACAGAGCACAGCAGTTACGTACCCGAGCAGGAGAAGTAGTGAGAACGGGCTCATATCGTAGTGGGCGGGCGCAACGACATGACCGTATCCCAGCACGACTAAATCGTCACGGGACCTCCTGCCTTTAAAAATTGGCCCGCAGCCAGCATGCTTCATCAGCCAGCTGTTATCGGCATTCGGCTGTCAGGAATGTGACTGACTCATTTTTCTTCGATTGCTTCCTTTGGGTTGCACCTTTTTGATGTTGCTGTGATGTTCGACGACACATCTTCCTTATATGGACATGTGTAAGAGAAATATTCCTCGCATTTTTGGCTATGTTTGACTCTCATGAAAGGCTGATGTGTTTATGTATTTAACTTAGAGATTTCTGCAAAATTGATTCTAAGGGTTTAGACCAATCATTTGTGTTCTTTACCAGATGGTATATTACTTCAGTGAACTGGTTTCAGACGTCTGTTATGTGTTTTTCAAGAATTTGGTGGGAATATGGGAAATTTAAGTAATCCAGGAATTTTAGCTATTGCAGAGCGCTGTAATGTTTTCTTTTTCATTTTTCAACTTATAGTACTTTAACGTTGAGAATCGAGCTTTCCAAGCTCACTTGACTTCCTCTAAAACTTATTTGTCCTCAACTGAGTGGGTAACTAGACTGGGAATAAGTCCACGGGTTTTTTTTTTGTTGTCGTGTCTTTTCCAACTCAGCAATCCATTTGTTACTGAACATACTTAAACTTCTTCCGTTCGAGTTCTGGATATCACACAACAAGTTCTAAGATGTCAGTGGTTGTCAACAAACAACTGTGATCCACGGATGAGGATTATGGATTTGTGTGAGGGTTTAACTAAGGCTTCGCTTCATCAGATCCAATTCCAAACTAGTAACCATCATCCATCCACTTTGTTAAATTTTTTATCTGCCTAAGCTAAACTTATGGAATTATGACAATTTGCCATCGCAGTGCTATCGAAAGATTTTCAAAGTGTTGTTTACCTATCTTTAAACTCTAAATTGAGAAGAACAAGCTAATTTCAGTACTACACAGAATTCTGATTCCGTTTCATATTGCTGATGAATTTTAATCTGAACTGAGTGGTTGGAACAAAAGCCAGATTTCTTATAATTCCCTTTCTGAGAAATCAGAATAAACGTGATTATGTATTGAGGAAATCGTGAGAGGAGAGTGTAAATGGCTAGGTTAGCATATCTGCGGCCTTTACGCAATATCTAGCCCCGCGTGGGTCGCTATCTTCGGCGATAATAGCCTTCCTTGATGGTGGCTGCGTCAGAAACCACAGTCCTAGAATTCTTTTTTCGCTTAGTCACTGTTTTCAATAATCAATACCAAATAATCAGTAAGGTTCCCCACGCCAGATAACTGGTTATACATCCTAAAAGTGGGTTCGATGATAAGTACACTGTTGCGTTTTCTGCTTTGTTATGAAAAAACCAGTGTAGCTGTCACGGGACCTCTTCCCATTGATTAATGTCGGCAAAGTTTTGTTCGCGCTGATGCTTATTCTGAAACATTCTTTTTGCCATTATCATCTATCAATCGATGATTCATTTGTTGTATTTATGCCAGCTCGAAATGCCGGTGACGGCTTGGGGTCGTTTTCCTTTACCAACCAGTTTCAGTGTTTACACACACCCCGCTTCTGCCAAGTCACCCCATCGATTGCATTTGTGCTGCATGGGATCTTGTGAACCGGATCTGTGAGTTTTTTGGAATCATTTCTAGAGCATCCTATTTTTGTTCATTGTTATTCTCGATATTCGTCTTTCTTGGCATTCTTATATGAAACAGTCTGTTATATGAAGTTGTTTGGAATTGTTAAGTTTTGATACCTTTTTGAAGTCTAGGCTTATTGAACATCATTTTAGCGTGCTACCCTCTTCGGGTACTTTATTGAAATGGACTAACTATATAAATGGATGGAGAGAAAGGTTTTTTGAGATAAAAAATGGTCAACTGTTATATTATGCCAGCAAAGCTGATCAAGCTTCCGGATGTCGTGGCAGCATTTCCTTGAAAAAGCTCGAAGTTACGGTTAGTACTTGTTCGAACAAATGCTTAAGGTTACACCTGAAACAAGCTATAGGGATTTCCGTTTTTCTTACAAGGTTTTCAACCATCTTCAAGGGGAATGTAACATTTTTGGAATCTCGTATGGGGGAACACATGAGCTGCTTATGTGAATCGTGCCGTTCCTGTCAGTTTGATAACGGTAGTGCATTATACACCTGTTTGCACGTATTCCATCTCTGACCTGGGTGAATAATTATTCTTCGGTCGAAATAGCCTTTTTTTGTGAACCCAATAAGTTTGTTCAACTATATTCCCGTATAATATGGAGCATAGACCTTTAATGAGACCAGAAGAAGTTTAGCAGGATCTGTTGCTAAGTGACAGTTTTTCTGGGCAATACGTAGTTGATTTAAACCAGAATTGCTGCGTTCTTTGGCACGAAATCTTTCCAGTTCGGATTAATGGGGTGTTTCTGAGTCATGTATTTTTTTCAGCTGCATGAGTTTAATGAATGCGAGTTTTCTGTATCAGTTGGAGACGTTACATGGCATTTGAGAGCAGAAAATCCACACTCGCGTACTTACTGGATCAAAGCTCTCACTAAAGATTCGGTGAGTACAATCTTCAAGTCTTAGTTCTTCAGTTATAATCAATTTTTGCGTACCATTTGCTCTGTCTGTACCTGCAGCAGTATAGCCGTGAGTACAGGCCTTGTACGCGTTTCCCGTGCAACGGATTAAGTGATTGATTGATTCGTAGAGTTGATCGTTTATAAAGTGGGGTGAGAAAACATGTAACTTTGGTGAGATATCTGGCGTGTTGCTTGAAAACGTGATTGGGATAAAATGAGATATTGTAAGAACTTCACTCAAAGTTGAAGGGGAGACGAGAGTAGGAGCAAAAATCAAATTTATCAACAGCTGCAATCTGTATATGATCGAACGATGATTAATGTTTTGTTTCAGAGTGACTCAGACTACTGCAGCAATACCACGAAGACTCATTCGAGGAACACTTCCCTCTCTTCCCTAACACTAGCAAACAAAATAGAGGTAAGGATAGGTCCTTCTGAGATGGTGCCGTGGGGTCCGCCCTTGTCGACTACACTTTTGCGACGCTTTGATAGGTCAGGTCAATCGAGATAATGCAGCGTGGTTTAACACGTGCACTTTGACAGGGCTCAGATATCCATTTGGTCGACACAATGGTGGTTTCAAACACATTTTTAATAATCATCGCTTTTTTCCAGGAACAAAACACGATGGTGTCACGGATCGCTGAATTGGAAGCCTATCGAACAATGTATCGTGAACAGATGTCATCGATTCGTCGAGAATTGCAACAAATTGGCGTTCCACAAGCAAAAATCCTGTCTATAAATGCCACACATGTTGCTATGCTAGATAACATCAATCATATTATTCAACTAGCCAAAAATGAGGTACGTTTTCAGAGTTTTCTTTGCAGCTCAAGTTATTTTTTATATTTTTGGTTGTGAAGTCTGAGATTCAAAAAGCACTGTGAGGTTTTGTATTCAAATCACTGAGCTCCTCCGATGATTTAGAAAATACTTTTCGTATTTGGCAGTATTTTAATGGGCCCCATTTCTTGAATTGAGTTCCGATTGGTGTTATTGCGTAGATGTTGATGCCTAATATATATATAGTGCTTATGGCCTCAAGAATGTTTGGACCGTAAACTAGTAATATACTCAAATTGAGCCGGCCTATAAGTTCTACCTTACAGAGTAACCTCTAGATTCATAGTAACCATTTGATGAGCGGGGTGCTGAATCACGTAGTTCATTGTGGTGATTGGTAATAGGTGAGAATCTTATTAACCTCTTCTGGTACTTTGCCATCGGACTCTCATTTGGAAACTCCTTTGAACCTTGAAGTGTACTCTCAGTGATGCTTTCTGATGCAATGTTTTAAACTAATATTATTAGAGCGAAATCCAGCTTTTTCATATGAAAAAGGAATAGTCACCTTGTCACCAGTTTCCCGCCACCCGTAAGAGTGAAGCATCTCCTTGTTCGAATCGCTTCTGTCTTTAGACTACATAGACACTCGTGTTTTCAACGACACTGGCTCGGATTACTCCAATGTTTGAAATTTTTAGCTAGATAGCAGTGTAGGTAGAATAATTCAGTCGTTTGTTCATGTAGATTGACATCTACATGAACAAACGACTGAATTAGTAGCTGAAAAGAGCTCATACTTTCGATCATACTTTCGATATGAAACGAGTAAATCGTATTTGCTTAACGAAATCGGCCTTGGCGGAGCTATATAACTATCTTTAGCCGTTCCTTCCATTCTTTTGTGGGAAACTCCTTGGCCATACATCCGTTTCGGATTTCATCCGTCGGCAGCCTTAATACTTCAAAGTCGAGCGAATGAACAGCTAGTTCATATGTGAAATCTTTTTTGTACAGAAACATTAACTTAAAATTTTCGCTGATGCACACTGTTATTCTTATATGATGTATTTATGATTATTAATTAGTTAGAGCGGTTGTTTAGCGGAGGCCTACTACTTCACAAAACGGTTGGACTCCGAATACACCGGTTTCACCATGTGCACCATCTCCCATTCCAACCGTGGAAGACGGCGAGCCCCCTTCCCGTGAAACGACTATACGTCAGGATACGGCCCCTCATTCAGTCAATGATTTGGTGAGCAAAATAAAATTTTTCGCGTGATTTTTGGAAGCGTAACTTATCAAGCTTTCTTGTAGGAGTTTTCGTAAGTTTCTGTTTCTACAAAACAGCGATATCGTTCAGAGGGACGCATATTCTTGGCTTAATCGTTGCGGTGTAACCTTGCGAAAGAAACAACTTAATTTGATAAAGATAGGAGAAGGCGCGACCTTCGCCAGGGCAGCTTCAGATGTTTAGACGGCTTCCTTGTAAACAAAGAATCTATTCCAAATATAATAAACAAACAAAGAAATGGTTTGTTTCTCCTCTTACTTGCACGAATTAATGTCGCAGCCTTCATCCTTGATCCATTCGGGTCATTACCTTTTCCGATTCACTAGTCCGTTCCTTCTAGTAGTTATGCATAAATTGTGCTCGTTATCCTTTTCTCGTAGTACCGAATCAAAGAAATTAAGCGGCAAGTAAGTTTGTGATGGAATGACGAGGAAAATAAATTAAGAACAACTAGTCGTTTGAAGTGTCGATGAAACGGAGATAACCTCATTTCGGGTGTCAGCGATCGTTTAGTGAAAGGCGGAAGCTCCAGTTCACGACATTGCCTCCGTTTTTTTCGATTTTTTTTTTCATAACTTCAAACTTCAACTGACGTCAAATTACTCGTGCCATTTTGGGAACAAATATAAACAGGTGCTGATGATTCAAGTTATCCAAACGATCTCTACTATAGGAGCGATAAATAAAGATGGCATTTGATTTGGCAGTCGTAGGAAGTATCATGTTTCAATTGGACAGCCTTTTGCCCGCGCACCCACCGCATCACAGTGAAGAGCGTTCGAAAATGGGGTGTTGTTTTGATTAGCGCTGTGCCAACGTTGATCACGTCAATTTCAGACGAGTGATTGTGGTGATGAGTGGCATGATGCAGACGAACATTCATCACTTTCACTGGATAGTGCTGAAGAGGCAATAGAACGGCGAACTCCACCCGGCATTGCAACTGCAGTGGCAGTGAGCCCACCTTTGCAGCAAATGGAGAAGCCAGAGCAGGAGATTGAACGGGTGAGTGGTTCTGTATAAGAAAAACTGTAATTCCGGTTAAAATACGGTTCATGTTTCAGACGCTTTTATTTGGAGATTATGACAATGTTCTCATCCCGAAGAGCAGTGTTTATTATGATTTAGTAGATCATTTAGCTAAAGAACAGCTCAGGTCAGTTAATTTGTCGTATTGATTGCAGAAACAGGATATCATCAGCAGACTGATTCAGGTATGCCTTAGCTGGCGTTGAAAATAAAGTATGGACTCTTTTCGCTGAAGATGGTGCTATGAAAATGTATACTCGCGAAGAAACGGTCGATGGTGGCCTACCCGTAGACCCTCTTAAGGCTGTTCATCAAGTTCAGGTAGGTTATTTATAGTAAATATGTGTGTTGACATTTTCTACATTGGCATCCTTCAGGGTGTATCTGCTCTTGAATTCATGCACTATTTCTTCGACGATAGATACAAAATGGATTGGGACCATACTCTTAATGGAATGCGGGTAGTAGAAAGAATTAGTCGCGATACCTTAGTCATTCTTCAGAAACATAAAACGGTAAGTATATTACACCAATAGCAGGTGATAATTATTACTTCATTTGTATGATTGTGTTTTGGTATTGTTGATGTCAAATTTTGGTCCTGCTACCTGCAGTGTCAGTCTAAGCTCTTTATTTTTTAAATACAGGTATGGCCCGCTGCTTCCCGGGAATCGCTGTTCGTATCCCATATCCGTCGCGTTGATGAGTTGAAGCGTGATGGTGCACATGATTTATATATTGTTTGCAACAAGGATGTTACGAGGGCGGATGTGCCGGTGAGTTTCCTAATGTTGTGCAGGTCTTCTGTTTGGGATAATTTTAATTCATTTTTGTTCTCATAGATTGATGTTGTTGCGAATAGTTTCTTGAATTTCCTTGATAAATCAGATGAACCCGATTCAAACGAGGGAGCCACATCCTCATGTCAGCGAATGCTGCTTTTTAAGATGGTTTGACCTGTTCCGTAGTTCCGCGACTTCATTCGCTTAAGTTTTCAGTACTATGAAAAGGAACAGAAACAGAACAAACTTTCTTCCTTGAAGTTCCTCTTTTTTTCCATGTTCAAGGTAGCACCGCTTCATTGTTTCGCATTGTGAAACAGTGGACAAACCATCTTTAGCTTGTTTGTAATCTGAAAATTCGACGTTTCTGAAGAAATTCGGTTGGTCTCAGTTAAGTGGAATTCGTGCATAAGAATTGCACATAATACCCATGAATTATGTAATACCCATGAATGTGAAGGGTTGATTAAAAATTTTTGAGGCTCTCAAGTAAGCTGAACCAAGCCCGCTCGTAGAGCAGCTTGAGGTAATTCGTGAAAAGCGAACATTAGCTGAAATTCAGCAAAATGTTATTATGTTATCGACTAATGCCGGTTACTGTTTACGCTACCTATTTGTAATTCAGTTCCGCCATTTCATTTTTTTATTTTTCAAACAAGTAATTTTTACGTGCTTTTTGTTGATAACAATCTGCCAGACTAATTCCTATGTATTGCAGGTCACATCGTCTGGTATCCGGGTTGGTCTTACGGTTTCGATGATTTGTGAGACTGTAATTAAAAATGGCAAAAAGCTTAATGAAGCTTCTCGTGATGACATTTTATGCAATGTTATATATGTTTCTCAAGGTGAGTGTCCCTATTATGGCGGTCGGCTTTCAGTTCTGTGGTCCCGAATAGTTGCCTTTTGCTCAGCAGGCTTGTCACCGTGTGACAGGCACGCGGTTGTTTTTTTTTTTGGATGTGTTGACTGAGTAGAATCTGAAAGGTCTGCGAAATTCAAAAGAGACCAACATTTGAGAAAACACCAAAATATAGCCATTTCAGTTCATCCAGGAGGATGGGTACCGACAGCTGCATTGAGACAAGTTTATAAGAGAGAATATCCTAAATTTCTTCGTACTTTCACGAGTTATGTGCTTAAAAACGTGAAAGGAAAGCCCTTAAGCATTTAATCTAGTCATTGCGTTTTATGAGTTTGTTGTGATTGTAGCCTTCATCTCTGACATTTTTTCACTTGTGGTTTCATTCCATTGTCGTTTATCGTTAATGGCTTTGTTGTGTACTTGTAGACGTGATAATTGATAAGATTGTGATCATTCCACTATCAAAATATTTCACATGATTTTTATGTTTGGCCGCTATTTGAACTATATCGCAGCTATGGTTTTGAAATTTCGCTGCAAAGCATAAACGTGAAGTATTTGTTTTGAAGTTGTTTGTGATTATGATGAAGTTACATTGCTGGGTATAATCCGTCTTTCTGCTTCTTTGTGAAGGATTAAAGTCAAAGTTATATCAAATCTGAGCTGCGTTTTAGCATTGGGGCCTTGTGAGACGACACGTGAATGCGCGTGTGGCCTTATCTGCCCTCTGGCCGGAATGCATTTTTCAAACTTATGGTATGTCTATTAATACTACTAGCAGTACTTCTTATCGAGGAAATCAATGTCGGCACAGGTTTTGTTACTGTGATGAACTATTATGGAAAAGAGGTGGTGATCCCGATTACAGCGAAAAGAGGTGAGCTTCATCGTTACTGCTTAGGCACGGGTAGCCTTCACATTCCAATCACTGTGTGTTCTTTTATTTCGTAATACATGGCAATTCAGTTGTGGAAGTCGAGTGCGGGGGCGCATCCGTTAGACGGTATTGATTAACGGCAAAAGCTTTATCCTTATCCTTATAATTATTTACATACCTAAGCGAATATCCGATTTCTTTCAAATAAGTCGCACCATAAAAGTGGGCTTGACTTGAACTGCAACCTTTCATTTCGAAAGCGAAGCAGCAAAGTGGTCATAAGTTAGTGGAGTCCATAAGATGGGGCTTACATTGAAGTTTATGGAGTAGGCTACTTTTGGACGACGTGCAGTGTACTGCCTACACGTAATTTCCGGCCGCACGTCGTCACTTTTGGACGATGTGCGGCCGGAAATTACGGTGTTGACCATTGTCTATTGGCTATTGATCAACTGACCGCTTAGGTTTGAGGCAGATCGGGAAGATTGCGGAGTGAATAGGCCTGTGCGAAGGAAGGGCTTGAGAATGGGACCGTCCAATGTTTTTATCGGCGAGGTAAATAGTAAATGTGTGGCCTAATCATAAAGGGGAAAGACTTTCGCAAGTTGATTACATACTTATTATATCTTTTCTGCACTTAGTGGATTGTAGCTGTATAATGTTGAGCTTCTTGAGATTCATGGTTTTTGTTCTAGTCTCTTTTGTACTTCGTGAATATAAGTTGCCGTGATGAAAATAGCTTTTGATTTTAATACCGACTGTCGGGTTGGCCGCAATTCACAGTCAACAGTGCGAGAACAAACGTGATGGGGCGAAAAAAGTGACAATAAGCTGTGCATAGTTAGAAGCTGTAGCATCTTACTTTTTTTCAAGTCGTAGTTTTGACAGCAAATTATATTGGAATGGATTTGCTTTGTTCAGAGGCGGGGCTACGGATAGCTATTGTTGTCGTGGTCCAAGACAATTCGAATAAGGAACAGTATCAACAGGCACAAGACACAGTGGCATGCTATGCAGCCTATCACCGCTATCCATTTCACTTTGTCGTTGTCAGCGATAATGTCACTTTAACACGAATTTGCCCTCAGAAGGACGTGAGTTACTTTAGNCCTCAATGGACGTTCTAGAATTTCCGGAAGCTTGTTCGAATCACTGTTTCAGTTCATGTTTCAACGACACTGCGTAGTTGCTCAAATGATGAGCTCGTGGAAAGAAGAATGGCTGCTCTTCCTAGATGCAGACATGGCCATCATAAATCCGAATCATTTAATTGAAGAATATATTCCTAGTGATCCTGATATCCATATAGTCTTCTATAAAAGAATATTTAATCATGAAGTAATGGCTGGATCTTACCTCGCACGGTAAGTACACTTTTTTTTTTACTCAAACCCTTCTAACTACATAGAGCGAGGGAGGTCGTCTTCGTTTGTAAGAGGTGATGCAGTGAGATGATTTTTCGTCCGTCTTGATTTCGGTTTTCTTCAAACATCTTGTTTTGAAGCGATCGGTTCCATTTCTGTAAATTGTTAAATTACTTATAGCGAATAAATTCATTAGTAGGTTTTCAGCAACTCCAATTTCTCTTTCAACTTCCTCATGTATTGGAGCAATTACGAGTATAGGCTTCCACAAAGTTTCCATGGATCGGATAATGGTGCCATTCACGTGAGTCCAATATTTCTTTTTACTGTCATAGAGATTTCTCAGCTTTAATTACTTATTCAGAGTGTCATAGCCTCTTACGAACTCCCTTCTCAAGACGCTTCTCGCAGGATATGTGAAAAGTTTTGGTTGGCTGCAAAGTAAGACAAAGTCATTTACTCTTTGCAATACTGTAATGGTCTGAGTTGTTTCCAGAGATTATGATTCTCTGTCTGTTTATGAGGTTTGCATGCAAATGATTCTATCGTCTAACCAGCTAAAGCACATTCTCATACTGCCCAAGGTATTTGGCGACTTCTCGTTTACCTGCGACTATCAAGCAGCGAATTCTCGACAGTTAAGCTTATGATGTACGATTGTGTTGCTTATCAAGGGTTCGTCATCATGGGCACGTGATGGTTGGCTAACGAACTCAGCTTGGTGTGAAGGGGATTTCATACTCCATGGATGGCAGAAAAGGTTGGACGTCTTTTCATTGGATGTTTAAGTTATCAAGCAATTGTTCTTATCTTCCAGAAGAAAGGACAAAATGCGTTTTGCTCGATGGCACTCACCATTCGTGGACACAGTCTGGAATCCGAATTTGTGTGAGGGATCCAACGCCTATATTAATTGGAGGTATAGTCATTATTTACAATGGAGACTTACGAAGAGCTGTTCCCTGTTCTTCTATTAGAATTTCCTCTTTTCCTGACAATTTTTCTCGAAGAAATATTCTTTTCCAGCTTTGATTTCAGTATAGTTTCCGGCCGTGTTATGAGGAACCTTTTGTTCCCCATGTATTCGGTTCAAAATGAGCTTCAGTTTTTGTAACCTGTATATGTAGTTTGTATAGATCCAGAATTCGTGAACTTCGTCTTTGAACTACTGAAATTTTCTTATAAATTGAGTTTATCTTCCTTTAATGTGTTAGATTCAAAATTTTCTAAAATAGAGTAAGATTCAAAATTTGATTTAGGTACAAGGACAGCTTCATTGAGAAGAATGAAGACATTCGGAAGAGACTGAGTGTAACGATTGGTCGTGTTGAGGCAGATTTCGAGATCATCAAAGCAACTCTGAGGAAGGACTGAAGTTTGTAGTCAAAGTTTTCTATTCTCCTCCGGTTTGCACTTCTTTTCTCCAATTAAGTGGCTTGATTGGCGTCATCAGAGTGACTCTGATGATCTATCTTGGTCTCTGGTCTAATTGTAAATTTGGCATAATTAAAGAAATCAGAAGCACTCGGACTTACCCACCTTTACCTCTCCCTTTTCCCTAACAATCTTGACCATCCTGTTATTTGTTCCGAGACGTTCTGGGAGCAAATTACATGAAATTTGGTATGTTATAGTATTATAATTACGTGTACGATTGGCATAATTGTATTAGCATGTTTTACAAATTGAGATTCAGTGTTTTACGATGTCTATAGAGATAGGAACCGCATAAAATCAGTAGTTTACAGTACATCTTTTACTAATACCTTTTAACCACGGATGTAACCAAGTATGCCTTTCATCTAGGACACAATATTCTTCTTACTGTGACTGCTTTTTTAGGCTTTATGCTTTTTTCTTTTATTACTTGTACCCAGTCGGTCTGTTCAGTGCCAAAACTTCACCCGTTTGCCTTTTAGTATTTTTCCGCATTTTAGAGAAGCATCCGTTGTGATTGCATAATATAATTCTTTGTATGTTGCTGGAAAGTTCCTCATATTATCACATTGTTATGAGCTTCAATTCTTTCACTAAATAATTTTTTACCTTTATCTTTCTTCATTTGTTTCTGGAATGTTACCATTATTCTGCACCGCCATCATCAGTATTCTTCGAACGATTTCGTATGTGTGTACTAATATTCCCTACAAAGTTGACAGCTCGATTTCATGTTGATTTTCCCAGATGTGATTGTGCTCAAGACTGTTGACTTTTTATCAAAACTTTCAGGGTTTTTATTGAGTGTCTTAATCAGAAGCCAGTATAAAATTGTTAATCTAATGAGTTCATTCGATTTTTGGTTGATAATGACGGCTAGCAGTGCTTGCTAAATACCTATTAAACATACATCACAGGTTCGCAAGTCAGGTTTTTTTTGACAGTGGCGAGAAAATGCAGTGTTCCTTTTAGGTGTTTAGAGAGCGATTTAATTTTCCCTTTCTTGGAGGAGAGTATTAAAAAGTAGGATTCGGCTGGTTGCTCACCCGAGAGATTTTATTTACCCCTTGTGTATTGAATTAGAGGATTTTGGATAATGATGCGTAAAAGAGAGGGATAACTGTTGCTCCAAGATTGCAAGCTACGAAGTAGCCCTATTCCCTTTCATTTTTATGCAAATGTTTTTCTGGTGCTTTCCAGATCTTAATTAGTCAGCAGATGAATAATCTCGTCCATTTTCAGTTCCATTTTCACTTGCTGGGAAGTAATTGAATAAAGTGTTCTATCTCTGGTTTGACCACTAATAACATGTCTCAAAGAGTTCTTCGTCGGAATCGTATTGTGGAGGAGGAACCGGGCCCGAGTCAGTCATCCGAAGTTCCTAGTGACGTAGCGGTGGATGCCAATGAGGTGAGGCCATTTCAATGTACTTCCTTTGCAACAGCCACCCTAAAATCGAATACAGAGGTGTGGTATACAGCTTTTGTGCTCAGGTACCATCTTTCGGTGACATTCTACAGTGTTCTGAGGACTACTCATCTGCACATCAATCTTTGGCTACTTTTATGGTTAATAAGGGCGTTTTAACGGTAATTTTATGCTTTCACTATAGCCCACTGTATGCTTGTTTTCTTAATGGCTCCGATATAATAGTGTTGTTTTTGTAGAAGAAGGAGTTTTACCTCTGCTTCATTCGGAACGTCGTCAGCATTAATCTAAAAAGTGAGCTTATTTCACCAGGATTGTTCCATTTCATGGATTTTTTCTATTGAGTCCTTTTCTATGATGCTACAGTCTTGCCTTTCTAGGGAACCCCGGAGTTGTTTCAAAAATCGCCTGTTCTGTTGAGGATCTAGATGCCCTTGTTTCGAAGCTGTTCAGTAAACTCAATCCTCGGTTATCTGAGGTGCGTTTAACTAATTTACTTTCGCTGGCTGACGCACCTCCTTGTTTTCTGATTTATTGGTCGTTGAAGTTGTCGCAGAATTATCACCAAAGACATATTGATCATTATCTTTCTCATTTAGCTTGGTTTACGGCTCACCTCCTTAGCCGATGAAGAATCAGGTCGCGAAATGGTAGTTTTAGTTAGTGAGGATGTGTTCCCGAAGGATATCAGCTGCATAAGTGGATTTTCGTCAGTAATTTCATTCGAATATGAAGCTTTTTAACTAAATTATGAATCGTACCCGTAATTCGAAATATTTTTGTTCAGAGCAGATGAGCTTCTGTTATTTGCACGCTATCTTCCGCAATTTGTCGATGGTTGTGGCCAATGTGAAAGCTCTTGGGCACTCAATGAAGCGACGAAGCTTCCTAATCCCATGACGTTAATCAAGGCCCAAAGCTTCTTGGATAAGCTTGCCAGTTTTGGCTGGATTTCAGAGGTATTTCTTCACTCCTATTTTTATTTTTGCTCAAGTATCCCACTACCGTGTGCGTAGAATAAGAAAGAGCGATCACATCCACAGCGGTGACTTTCTTTTAAAAGTTGCGTCTTAAAATTGGTTATTTTTCCCCGAGACAGTGTGATTGCGATCCCGAAAGATGGTGACTTCAGAGTGATGGTTCTGCAATCCGGACCTCTTTAGTCTGTTCAAAAGAGAACCTCAATCTCCCTAATCCATCTCTGCTTTCCTATTTCTGGAATTCCGATTACGAACGGATCCTGTATTACAACAATCTTGGGTTACTCGTCATTGAGCGAGGGAGATATCCACACACGCTTTGACTTCCCAGGGATTCGATCATTAACCATCGTGGTCCAGCGATCACCACAAAATCGCATAACGCGTCCAGTCCACCTCATCTTCGATTTCTTATCATAAACAACAGTGTCTTCAACATTCTTCTTTGTTTGTCTACGATTTCAGCTATCAAAATTGCGTGGAAAGAAGTGACTTAAACCTGAAAGACAACTTGCTTGCGTAATTTATATTGGCGACTTGATCCTCCAGTGATTTCAAGTGCAGGTTGAGTGCATGGCGCAATCTTGAAGAGATGATTAGAGCAATCCCTCCATTTTTCCTGATTCCTCTACTACAACGAATTGCTTTTCGTTTTCAGAAGGATGACACCATTCGGCTAGAGCCCCGCGCCATAGCGGAATTAGAGCCTGTCCTTACAACAAGTTATGGCTGCAGCACTTGTATCTTGTGCCAAAAAGTGGTGGTACGGTCAGTACATCCCACATTTTTATTTGCATTTATTTTCTTTGAAGAGACATTAAAAATTACTATTAAAATCTTTTCGGTTTCAGGAAAGATATTGCCGTTATCTGTGATTCATGTGACGTACAAATACATCGACATTGTTGGAAAAAGTAAGCGTTTTGGCTTTTTTCATGCTCGGATTCGAGCAGACGCTTTTTTCCGACCTTAAGGTGTGAAAATTTGATCCAAGCACAAATGAATCTACAGGATCCCCCATCATCGCGCACAAAAGCTCCACAGCCTTATGGACCATTTACGGCTTCTGTATCAATTGTCGAGTCACTCCAGGCGTTTAATTGCACAAGACTTCGATTCGATTATATGCTTAGGTCCCACATAATTCGAGGCTGTTTCATATGGTTCTTTTTGGTGTAGTGTCAAGTGGCGCACTATCCGGGGATCGAACTCGGAACCATATCTGGCCACACCAGTTGGGCCTTCCATCCCTCTCTGGTCGGCTGATCGGTTCCATATTTATCTGGGAAGATACAAGCCACTGACTTGTACCTCGGATAGCCACCGCATGACATTGCATAGGCTACTACACATTTAATGCACCCCTACGATTGTGAATCGAAGACAAGTGCAGGGCGTAAGCCAGAAGAAGATTGGTTGACGCTGAAGGCTTCAAACTGTATGGTTCTTTTTGTAGAGGCCGATTAATCACTGTGATTGGGCTGTTTCTATTTGTCATATCTCGAGATTTAATCCTTTCGCCAGACGATTTTTTTTTCAAAATTTTCCCATCATAAGCTTAGTTGAGCTGTAGCTCCCCAGTGAATATTATGACCCTTGAGTGTGGTCCAGATGGACGGAGCTAGGTGGCAGGTGAAACTCCCAAAGAAAATTAGTGGTTAAAGTATGCTAAAGTCTTTGTAATTGCTAAAATAATTTCTAAAGTCTTCCAGGTACGCTGCAAGTTCCGAAACTAACGAGATATCGTGTCCTGGAAGAGGATCTAATGGATGCGGGCGAATGTTCTCGAAGAGTGATGTAGCGGAAACTTTCGCCTGACAGTTGTCTTCCCTATAAACACCGTTACTCTACGGTGTTTTCGTATTCGCTTACTTGTCTAAACATTGAATTATTTCGGCTCAAAAATTTTGTGAAGTGTCTAACCTTTTCCGTAAATTTTGGACCTCATATTTTTCTGCCAGAGAGTTATCTCATATGAAATGTGTGTATTCATTCTCTTAGATCATGTTTTCAAGTTTTTACATTAAATTTTTCCACCCTACCTATTTTCCCTACCTATTTTTTTTACAAAAAAAAAATTAAATTGCAACGTATGCAATGTTGGATAGTTGTATTTGGACAATCGTATCGATTTCGAGGATATCTGGTTCTACCAAAAAGTTACGAAAACTGTTATTGTTACTGGTTATCATGAGCCCCACAGGAGACAGTGTCCGAGCCGCACACGGACGGATCGCGAACTATGAACGCTGGATATTGTTTGAATTCGCGTGAGATTAGTAGGAGTATGAGAAGATTGAACACTGCCTTTTCTAGCAATTTCCAAACAGTGAACCATTAATTTGGGCCAAAATCAGATTCGTGCAAGGTAGTGATCCATTTTAAGGATTTGCATTCTCTGTGAGCTGTATCGGGCTATCGGAGGATGGTATAATGTCTCCATTACCTTTGGAAAGTCTCACTTAAAAAGAGAAGAGCTCCTTCTTGATTCGACTACGCTGTGCTCTTTCCTTGTAATGATAGGGATTGTATAAATCGTGCGTAGCGGAATTGGTCACTGAAAAAGGCCATGTTTCTTCGCAAAAAGCAGAGTGATCGGCTGGGTCAACGATTTGTGAGTTTGTTGTTAGATTTTTGTTTTGAACTACCGCCCTTTTGACTATCACGGCTGACAGATTTTTCGAAGAACCATTCGTAATATGACATGCATTAGTCGCAGGTAATTCAGCGCTATTACTTATTTTGCGGCTGTAATTACGGTAGGAATTGGACGATGGGAGGATTTTTTGTCTTGTCTTGAGCGAGAGTGGACATTCTAAAAGGAAGAAGTCGACACCGTTCGGGAGGCGGTCGTTTGGCGCAATGGGCGGGATCGCGCCGCCCATTTGAGGCGGCGCGACTCCGCTCATCGCGCCGTTCGACTCGTTCAGACCGCATAATCTTCTGCTCTCCTCTCCTCTATAGATGATGGGATGGGCTTCTATCATCTATAGAGGAGAGGAGAGCAGAAGATTATGCGGTCTGAACGAGTTGAACGGCGCGATGGGCGGAGTCGCGCCGCCTCAAATGGGCGGCGCGACCCCGCCCATCGCGCCAAACGACATACACCCACACCGTTCTCAAAATCGCTCAGCTTGAGTTTGCACAAGGTTTCAAGCATGGCAAAAGCTTTACTCAACTAGGCTCTCACCTTGGGTACTACTTCCGACGGAAGTTGATCCTAAATGGCAAGGGTTGAGCATTGTACAAACTTTCTTTTTTAACGGCATCTTCAAGATCTTCAAACTTTGCCCTCCATGGCAAATGCAGACCAGGTAGATGTAGCCAGTGTTGTTGCTCGGGCAATAACGGATATTGCCATTCTTGGATCAAAACAACATCGCGAGATGTGCTTGAAAGTTAGTGGTAAGTTCAGCTTTTTCACTCATAAGATTTCCCCCGATAATTTTATAAGAAAGATTCTTTTTTAGGCTCTAGAAATATCGCTGATTTGTCCATTCGTCTGGAGCAATCCCTCAATCGATTTCTTCGCTCAGATGATAAGAAAACGGGATGGTCAGTTATACTTTTTTCTATAAGCGAGGGAATTTATCTTGCTTCTATCTATTTACGGGTTATTTTCGGGATTATTTGGTTGATGCTTATTCAGCCATATTAAGAAATTAAGTATTCGAGTTTGGAATGGGTTGAATTTGCCCAATTCAGTCAGGTTTCCCCACTTTTTTGTTTAGTTGTATTCTATTTAGCGAATTACGATTCAACAAAGCGAATCAAAAAGCTGGCATAAAACAGAATGAGTAGTCTTGTAAAGTGCATGTGAGTTTACGCAATTAATTTGATTTTTGACTCAGATACCCTGAGAATGATATGATGACAGTTGTTATGTTTATGTGCAGTTCGACATGCACCCGGGTGTCCGAAGCTTGGAGACGGTAAAGATAAATTGGCATAACATGTTGACAACCGCTTGGAATCAGTTGAAAAAACTTGGTCTAAGCATC